TTTTGTTGAGCAGAAGCTTTTTAATATTATGAAGTCCCATTTGTCCATTCTTTCTCTTAGTTGCTGGGTTGCTGGTGTTCTATTGAAGAAGTCCTTGCCTATACCTATTAGTTCCAGAGTGTTTCCTGCTCCTTCCTATAGCAACTTCAGAGTTTCAGGTCTGATATTTAGGTCCTTGATCCATTTTGAGTTGATACTAGTACAGGGTGATAGACATGGATCTAGTTTCAGTTTCTTGAAGACAGTTAACCACTTTTCCCAGAAACATTTGTTGAAGAGGCTGTCTTTTCTCCATCGTATGTTTTTGGCACCTTTGTCAAAAATAAGGCAGGCATAGCTGCGTGGATTCATATCTGGGTCCTCTATTCTGTTCCACTGGTCTTCATGTCTGTTTTTGTGCCAGTACCATGCTGTTTTTATTGCTATTGCTTTGTAATATAGTTTGAAGTCAGGGATTGTGATACCTCCAGCATTGCTCTTTTTGCTGAGTATTGCCTTGGCTATTCGCAGTCTCTTGTGTTTCCAAATGAACTTTAAGGCAGATTTTTCAATCTCTGTGGTGAATGTCATTGGGATTTTGACAGGAATTGCATTAAACATGTAGATTGCTTTTGGTAGTATAGCATTTTTACTATGTTGAGTCTACCAATCCATGAGCATGAGAGATCTCTACACCTTCTGTAGTATTCCTCGATCTCTTTCTTCAGGGGTTTGTAATTCTCCTTGTAGAAGTCATTCACATCCTTTGTTAAATTTACTCCTAGGTATTTGATTTTTGGGGGGCTGTGAATGGAATTGTTTTCATATATTCCTTCTCAGTTTGTTCCTTGTTGGGGTATAGAAAAGCTAATGATTTTTGTAGGTTGATTTTGTATCCTGCCACCTTGCTGTAGCTGTTTATGGTGTCTAAGAGTTTTTGAGTAGAGATTTTTGGGTCTTTAAGGTATAGGATCATGTCACCTGCAAATAAGGATATTTTGACAGTTTCTTTACCTATTTGTATTCCTTTTATTTCTCCCCTTTTACTTTCATATGCTTAGTTGTTTTGTTTTACCCTTCCCCTAGCTTCTACAAATGAGAGAAAACACATGCCATTTGTCCTTATAGGACTGACTTATTTCACTTAACATGATATTCTCCAGTTCCATCCATTTTCCTGCAAATGACATGATTTCATCCTCCTTTATGGCTGAATAATATTCCATTGTATAAATACACCAAATTCCCTTTTCATTCATCTGTTGATGGGCACCTAGGTTGATTCCATAATTTGACTATTGTGAATAGTTCTGCAATAAACATGGGTGTGCAGGTTTCCCTATAGTAAGCTGACTTTGCTTATTTTGGGTATATACCCAGAAATGGTATGGCTGGATCATATCAGAGTTTTATTTTTATTTTTGAGGAACTTCCATACTATGTTCCACAGTGGCTGCACTAATTTACATTCCTACCAGCAGTGGATAAGAGTTCTTCACACACACACACACACACACACACACACACACACACCCCGCATCTTCACCAAAATGATATTTGATATTTAGTAAGTAGCAAAACAGGAAGAGAACAGGCTTTTCTGACCCCTGTAATGAGCTTTTTTCTCTACCCGAGTAGTTTCTAAATATGCAGCTTAGCGCAGTATGGATGCAGGGCTGGGCACTGAAACTTCTTTTTCATATTTTAGTGATAATCACAGTCATCCTTTTATAAATAGTCCCCATCTTTTAGAAACAAACACTAAAATGTTCATAAACATGGCAGGATGTCTGAGTTTTGTTTACCAACTAGGAAGAGCAAGGTCAGCCAAAAACTAATGACAGCTCCAGCTTGGGGAGGGACCCAAGGGGGGAGGTCCCTGCATCATTATTTCTACTTTTGTGAATGCTTGAAAATTTCCAAAATTTAAAAAAAAAAAAAGGTAATTTCAAAACACTCAAACTCTACCAAGATATGTGCTCCTCCCCCTCATCCCCCTCCCAAGTCCTGCACCATAAGGAGGCTGAACTGTCGATATTGTGCCTGCCAAAACAAATTTGCAACTATAAAAGGGAGACACAAAGAACACTAAGGTTTTCACTTGCCCAGGTTTGGAAGAGGAAGAGACTTTGATGGCTCCCACGCACTTGGGCCATAAGCAGGAGGTGGGTCCAGGAGGGCAAAGAGCCAAAGTCTATCATTATAAAGACGTTCTGATTTCCTTCCGCTGTCTCTGTGGGGCTCAGGCAACTCCAGAGGGCAAAGCATGGCTGAAGCTCAGAGCAGAAGTCCCCAGGCCAGGTGAGTGGTCTACACACACACACACAACACACACACACACACACACACACACACACACACAAAGGGTAGTGTCCTTGTGATCCCATGTGGGGTCAGGGATTGACCACAGACTTGAGCTCACCTTGAATGGGACCAGCCTTTTATTATCTTCCCCTGCCCCCTCCACCTGCCCTGTCACCAATCATTGGCTATAAGGTTGGAAGTGGGTGGGTGAAATTTAAACCCCCAGAAGAGAAGCAGGTGTGAGCCCTTAGCAACCAAAAAACACAGACACTGGGGAAACAGGTGTTGCATGCTGTGAAGAGGATCTAGGAAATGGGGGACCACAGCTTCTCCCCTGGGGAGGAATTTGCCACCTAAAGCCCCATCCTGCTGGTAGTGGGTGACCCTGGGAGCAGAGAAGAGCAAGGCCCCTTCTAAACCAATCCCAGAGGCCAGGCACACAGAGCCTAGTTTGAGAAAGCAAAGGACCAGAGAGGGAAAGGGACTTGTTGAGGACTATTTTCCCAGAGCACAGCCCTCTGTTTCCCACAGACCCTGGGAGTCTTTACATGAAGGTCTCTTGATACCAGTGCCTCCTTCTGACACCCTGGGCGGATGCTGCTTTGCACACTCATAGCTGCTTCCTAACTGGCATACACCAAAACCCAGATCCTCTAAAAGTACCCACCCTAGCCTCTCTATGACATGGTACATACAACTCAATATCTCTCAATTCCTGCCTTCCTCTGCTTGCCTGCATGCATGCACACGCACACACACACCCTCAGAAACTCTGTGTGAGGCTGCCACTACACAGTCTGATTAGAGTCACATTATTCAAGCCCAGGTTTTCTCTGCCTGCCTGACCTCCCATAGACAGATTTTACTCATTCCTGCATGGAATCCTGCACATGGTATCCAGCTCAGAACTCCATAGACAAACCCATGAATGGCAGTTTTGGTTTTCAGATCCACAAAGTGCCCTCCTTCCCTCTCCACCTTTACCAGCCCACCTGCAGAAGCCCAGAGAACTCATGCCCCTCTCCCCTTTGAGAAGTACAGGCAAACTCACCACTCCTGGTGATAAGGTTGAGTGTGACTTGTCTTAACAAAGAATCAGAAACGGGCAAGGTGGAGCCTGGCTGGCAGGATTCCAGGCATGTGAAGACTGTAATAAACATAGCTGATATTTACTGTTGAGTGCCAGGCCTCACTGGTCACCCCGGGGACAGGCACTAGAACTCCATGTGCTGGTGAGGAGAGACTCAGGCACTGAGATGTAAACCACCTGCTCAAGGTCAGAGATCCCAGGAGCAGAGCCCAGATTGGGCTTCAGCCTTCAGCTCGTGCACTTCTGGGCTCATGGTTTGACCCACACAGCTTCCCAGCTGGGGAGCCTGGAGGGTTCTACTCATTTCTGCCCCTGCCCTCTCAGAGCTGAAGGAACAAAGGGAGTATGTGCAAGGGGCAGGCAGTGCATGGTCCAGGACAGTGACAAGGCCTTGGCAGGTTTCTTTGGGATGCCAGTCTGTCTGGCCCTGCGGGTCCTGAGCTGGCCAAGGGAACAGGGCTAAAAGGTTTCCGTCCAATACCCTGTCTCAGTTAGCCCACCTCCACTCCAACGCGGCCCAGCCCAGGTCCCGAAGGTGGAATAGACAGGACAACAGAGCCTAAGCACTTTAGGAAGTAGAGTTTGTTACCAAAATCAGGTTCGGAAAGTCATCACCCAGAAAAGGCAATGTCTTAGAGGAGTGTTGGGGAAAAGAAAGGTCTTAATGAGGATGCTGGTAGAAAGGGGAACAGACTAAAGTCTCAAGTTCATTATTCCAAGTCTGTGGGGAATATTCACCTGAGGATCAGGTCAAGGGCCATCAGCATTTCCCAGAGATTGACTAAGCAGCCTGATGTCTCGCTGGCCAGACGTGATAACCTCCTAGTGACACCTGTTCTTATCTGGAGGGCAAGACATTGGAATGCAGAGTGAAGGTCACTGGCCTGTTATAAAGTTCACACCCTTCATGTTGGAAAGTGGCCACCAGACTTCATAGCAAACAAGCCTTTCCTTCTGACATCTAAGGCCCAACTCCTGCAGCAGCTCCCCCTCCAGTTAATGGAAGCTTCCTTGTAGCAGCTCTCTATCCTGGGAGTGAATTATTTCTAGTTGGAAGTGACTCTAGAGATGAGAGCCAATTCTCAACCACACCATGATATACCCATGAGAAAACCAAGAGGAGAGAAAAGAAGGCGAGGAAGGGAAGGGAAGGGAGGGGAGGGGTTCCTAGAAATGCCTTAGCAGAAATTCCCTTCCCTCCTCTTCCCCATCTCCCCAAACTCCAAAGTTAATTATTTGGTTTCCACCTGCCTTCATCTTGGGCAGGTGAATGGGAGCTGTTTACAAAGTACCCACATCTGTCAGGCTGCCTACCAAACTGTGCGGTGGCCAGTGTGGAGTTCATCTGCACTAGTTGTGAAGTTTGTCTGGTCCTTGTTTTTCTGCACCCAAAGTAGCCATGTCCCTGTACCCCCCAGAGCGGCTGTGAACCACAGTTACTCCCCATCCCCAAGGCCCAGATTATTCCAGGCCACATCAAGGTCAGAGATTCCAATGTCCTGGAAGGTGCCAGCCCAGGGGTGGCGGTGACAGACAGAGTCTCACTCAGGCACGAGCCTCAGAAGTGAGCAGGGCTCTGATGGGGCCTTTCTCCTTGGCCTGTAGGCAAGGCCCTGGGCTCCAGTTAATGGCAGCAACGGACCATGGAGCAGCAGTAGCCGCAGTGACTCCCAGCCCTGGTGCTGCGGGCCTCCTGACATGGAAGGACCTTGGCCCAGCCCAGCCTGTGCAGACAGGTCTACCCCAGGGTCTGGCCCTGCCCAATCTCCAGGCTCCACACAGGCACCGGGAGAGGAGCAGCTTCCTGCAGGAACTGGGTGTGAGTGTCTTCTCCCTGGGGCCCTGAGCGGGAGGCATGGGGCTAGGGGAGTCTCAGCTTCCCTGCTTGACACTCATTCTAAAACTGAAAACACCTTGACAGGGAGAATTTGTGAGGCATGAACAGGGCCCCCGGGGTGCCAGGCACACAGAGCCAGCCCCAGGACAGATGCCCCTTCTAGGGACTTGGAAGCCTTGGCTGTTTCTGGGGAGGGTTTTCCTTGGAGCCCAGGATCCCTGAGAGGGTGGGAAGAGAGTTCCTTTCAGCCAGTGGGCCCAAGGCACTGAGGGCCTCATTTCCATCCAGGCTTTCCATGTCATCATCGCTCTGCTGCACCTGCTCTTCGGGGGTTACCTGGCCTCCACAGTCAAGAGTCTTCACCTGGTGGTGCTGAAGTGTTGGTATCCATTCTGGGGGGCTGCCTCTGTGAGTAGGAGCCCAAGAAACCTGCATACAGGGAGGAGTAGGCAGGGATGGTCTTGGGGGACCCTTAGTTTTTGAGGCTAGATACAAGGTGGAGGGGTCGGGAGCCAGAAGCCTCCTCATTTGCCATTCTCCCAACTCTGCCCCACTGCCTTAGTCACACTAGATGTAGCTCCTTCCCAAGGTCCCATTGCTCCTGAGTCCCAGGAGGGCACCCCAGGCTCTGTGGACCCTTCCCTCATCGTATATGTGCATCTGCCAGGGATGAGGGCAAACATCAGCCCTTCCTCCTCAGGCTTCTGAGCCACCCACAAAACATCCCTGGTGCCCTGAATCTCTGTCAGGGTCCTTCTGCAACCACAGATGGAGCAAAACACATGTCTTCTATCCTCCCAAGGCCATGGCCAGGATGAGACAAGACCAGATCAGTGCACACCCCATTTCTACAGTCTCCATGTTCCTCTCCAGGATGCCCACCCCAGCCCTCACTCTCTGATGGAACACTCCTTATGCACTAAGTCCCTGCTCCATAGTGCCCTCTTGGGCAGGTGTCCTGTCCCCCTCATTTCCACCTCAGATCAGAGGTCTCCCTACACAGTGATGGAACTTTCTACACATGTGATGCCTGTTCATCCTGTGCTTCTGGGGACTGCACTTAATAAGTGCTCAGCAAACATTTGAAAGAAATGAGAGGCATGAAAGATTTGAAAGAATGCTTGAGAGCACCAAGGCTCGCAGCCTCCCAAGCACAAGATTCGGGAAAGGAGAAAGGGTTAGGTGGTAGGGTGGTGCCTCTGATAACACAGGGATGCTTGGGGTTTGCAAAATGGGGGAAATGGAAGGTACTGAGGACATCCCAAGGGCAGGCCCAGCCTGGTCCCAGCTATGCAGACAGACGAGGTATGGAGGTTCTGCACCCACTGGAAGGTACGAGGTGGGGCAGGACAAGCTTGCTTCATCCAAAGACTACTGTTCTCTGCCAGCCACTGGGGGCTGGTTTTCTTGAACAATGGGTGGAGGGGAAATTGTGAGTTTCAAGGAACCCCAGCTTCCCTCCCGTGACTTTGGAATCTGGCCTGCAGTTTCTCATTTCAGGGATCTTGGCGATAGCAATGGCGTCATTTTCTAAGTCCTATCTGGTGAGTTGTTGCCTTGAGATCATTTGCTGTTGTGCCAAGTTTGGGGTGACTTTAAGAGTATCTGTGTGTCTTGGTGATTTGGGAGGAGTTGCTAGGAGCAGGTATGCACCTTCAGGGGAGCTGAAGGTCCAGATGCAGACAGGCTGGCAGATTTGACTAAAAGGAAAGGAAGCCCCCATCCAAAGCTTCTACCCTCCCAAGTAGCAAAAAATTGCTTCTAGGTTCACCAATTCCACCACCACCACCACCCCGCTGCATCTAGAACAGATTGACTTCCTCCCACATCTACTGGGTTTTAATCTTGGTCACTACATGGACATCCACCCAGAAGCCTGGGAACCATGCCTTGTTCTGCTCCCCTGCTCCAAGTCCAGGCTGCTTATAGACACCCTTGCTGGTGTCTCTCCACCCCATGCTCTCCCTCCATCTGGTCCTGGTCCTGGCATCTCTGGCCTGGAGGGGGTCATCCCTCATTTTCTCCACACAGCCCAAGGGATTATTCTTGAGTGTGAGACCCACCATGTCACTCTGCTGCTGTCATCCTCATCTGGACTCCAAGTGCCCTCGGCTTGCTTCCAGCATCAGCAAGTCTGCAGGATGTGAAAGCCCCAGCCCAATTTCTACTTATTCTACCTCTAACTACCAGGCAGATGGAAATGTTGCCCTGCCTCTTCTGCATCCTGCTCTGTCTCCTACACATGACTCCTATACTTAACACATTTCTGTTGTCTCTCTTTTTTTTTTCTTCTGTTGGCTCTTTAAAACTCCACTCACATGCCTTGTCCTCCAGAAGTCTTCCCTGACTCCCATGGCCAGCTTCCATGTCCCACATCTCTTTGTCCTCCCTGCCCCCACCATGCACTACATTCTATATGGGCAGCAAGTGTCCCGATCATCTTTGTAGCTCAGAGTAGCCCAGGTGGGCACAGAGCAGAAACCCAGCACAAGACTGGATGGGTGGGGATGGACAGATGATAAAAGGACCATCCCTGAAAATCCTGTCTCATGGCCTCAGCCCATGGTGGGGTCTTCCCAGCCCCTTCTACTCCCTACCCTGGTCCTGTGTGTGTGTGCCCTGCAGCCCAGGCTGGGATGTAGCTGTTCCCTGGCTTCTTGGGGGCATAGAGAATGGAAAGAGGTTGGTGCAATTGGCCCAGCAGAAGCAAAAGATGCCTGGCAGATACCTGCCCAAGAGGATGGTGGATCCAGGACCCATTTCAGGACCACAGTGGACTGAGCAGAGACTGACACTAGGGTGCACCTTTTGGTGCTTTTGTTCTTCCCTGTGAGGTCATCTGGGTGTCTGGCCCATTGGCATATCTGATAAAGAATGGTTGGAGCTGATTGTAAGATGGATGTAATATGGGGCATCCTTCTTTATACAGAGCTCTGTGTATCTGGAGGCCACTCTAGAGCATAAAACCTCTGCTCCTCCTCAGTGGTCAGGAGCTCAGCACCTCACGTGTGTAAGTGAGCAGCCTCAGGCCCAGAGATGGGCAGAGTCTTTCAGGGGCTCAGAGCCAGCTCCCAGCAGGCCTGGGGGGAGGACTTAGACCTAGGCAGAGTTTCTAAACCCTGGTGCTAAACTTTTCTCTTTTTTTGCAGAAAGTGTTATGTATGACAGCAAATCTCGTCAGCTTCTTCTGTGCGCTAGCCGGCCTCTTTGTCATTGCTAAGGACCTTTTTCTGGAAAGTACATTCCCATGGCCAATCTGGAAACCATACCCCCACTCCACAGTGAGTGCCCGGGACCCAGGGGTCCTCTCTTCCAAGGAGGGATCTGCCTTTGGCATAACTGAGAGGAAGCATCAGACTCTTGGAAAACCTCAGCCAGGCACAGACAGCTGAGCCCCTGGCCAATCTATCCCCCTCCATTCCAAAGCATTATAGATGGGGATGCCCGGTCTTCTCATGGTCAGTACCAGGGAGCAGGACATGACCTTAAGTCAGTGTGTCTCACCCTACTTTTCTAGATGGAGAAACTGAGGTCTAGAGAGGAGTTGGGACCCACCTGAGGTTGAGCAGCAAGTTGGCTGCACATCTAGGACCACAACAAAGAACTGCCAATCCCCAGCCAAATCTCTAAATATGGTGTACATGGAGGCCTCTCCCAGCAGCCTCACAGAGCTGGCCAAGTCTACTTTGCTACTCCCATTTTATGTGAATGAACACTGAGGTCCAGAAAGACTAAATTAGTGAGCCAAGGTACACAGCCAGTCAATGGTACAGAAAAGACTAAAAGCCAGATCAGTGACTCCAAGTCCAATGCCCTCTTCAGCATACCTCGGCTGCCTCTGGATCAGATCCCAGGTAACCCGGCCACAGTAATTAGCTCTCCTATCTCCCCCATCACGCACACACCTGTGCAAGGACACACATGCTTCCCTAACAAATGTCAGCGATCTTGTGAGATGTCACCGAGCTGCTCTGTGGTTTTCAACCCACTCTTCCCCTCCCCTGCTATAAAAAAAATGCTTCTTTCTGGGCCCAGAGAAAAGCATCCTCCTCTGCCAAGTAGAATTAGGGCAGCTGACCTTTAAAGCCACCTTCAGTTCTCCCAGGGACCCGTGAGATTTCCCAACCCTCAGACTTCAGGCAAACACTTACCAATGACACTCACGTGCTGGGTGTTGGGTGCAGAGCAGTAACTGAGGCAGCCCCAGCCCAGTCCTTCCCCACACATGCCTAGGAGCTGAAGCCCACTGCCTGTGCTGAAGATCCGACCCCCTTTCCTGCCAGGCCCACAGGATGGGTGCAGATACCCAGCAAGACCTCACCCCGTCTCCCTCCTATCCCCTCTCAGATCCACATCCAGAGACTGGAGCTGGCCCTGCTCTGCTTCACCTTCCTGGAGATCTTCCTGCCAGTGCCCACTGCTGTCATAAGCTATAGGAGGGGCCGCCTGTCTGCAGAGGTGAGGCCTTCCTGGGGACAAGCCCTCAAGAGATGGGGATATGAGGCAGCAAAGTGTTGGGGAAAGGAAGAGAGCAGGCAGGGGTCCAAGAGGAGAGGAGCATTGCCTCTCACTCATTTGTTGCATTCCTGAGCATTTTCTATGTGGCAACACACAGTCCAGGAGGAGCAAGGCCATCACAGAGAAAATGCCACTAGCATGAGCCATGGCCACCACACTCCTGGTTGCGAAGGTCCCAGGGGATGGCATTCAGGAGACACATAGAAACTGGGTAGAATTTGAACCCGCAGGTATGGAGAAGGGATTTCCAGCAGAGAAAGAGTGTAAGCAGAAGACTGGAGACAGGACCAGGAAGACCTGGGAGCAACAGCACATGCAGGAGGAAGTGAGAGTTGGGGTGGTAAGTGACTGAACACAGGGCACTCAGTGCACTCTGTGAGGTCCTATAGTAATCTACATAACTACATATGGTTACATACAGTTATACAGTATGTGACAATATAGATAAACATAACTGCTTTGTCTTCTCACCATCCCTATTAAGTAGGTATTTACTTCCCACTCTATAGATAAATAAACTGAGGCTTAGAGAGATCACATCACTTCCAAAGACCTAACAGCCAGTGAGGGAATCCAGCACTCAGCTTGATGTGTACCAAACTCCTGACCAAGCCCTCTCTATGAGCAAGGCTAGCAGAATGGTGGACTGAGGCCGGGCATATTTTAAAATAGAAGACTGGCCTTTTGACAGGATGGTGGTACGTATATGTAATCCCAGCTACATGGGAGGCCACTGGTAAGAGGATCACATTCCAAGGCCAGCCCTAGTGAAAACACAAAAATCTTATCCAAAAACTAAAAGCAAAAAGGGTGGGGCATGACTCAAGTGGTAGGGCTCGAGGCCCTGAGTTCAAAGGATTACCAAGAAAAAGATTGGGCTCTCCCCACCCCAAAGACCCTGCCTGCAAGTGACCTTCAAGTTTCATGTCTTTATTCATTTTTAGAGACAGGGTGTCACTGTGTAGTTCATGACCTTAAACTCATGCTCCTCCTGCCTCAAGCCTCCTGAGTTCTGGGATAACAGGAAGGTTTGTTTCTTTAAAGGAAAAAAATTCATATTACAATCTCAACTTTAGAACACCATAAAAACATATACTCGTCATCCCCCATAATCCTACAAGAGCAGCACTAGGGATTTTCTGGTTTTGCTGTGCTGTGTTTTTGTTTTTCCTTTGTAAGACAAGGTCTTTTTATGCAGCCCAGGCTGGCCTTGAACTCTTCAGTCCTCCTGCCTCAGCCTCCTGAGTGCTGGGATCACAGGCATGTGTCACCATGTCCAGACTCAACGCTGATGAAACTGTGCACCCATACACAGTACTGAGTTTTCCCCTGAGGCAGATGTGACTCTGTGGCCCTCAATTTTATGTAACACCACCAGGAAAATATGTTACCTTCCTTAATGCCTGACCTGACAGGAAGCCTTCCCACTGGGGTGTCAGAGGCAAATGGGAACCTTGAGTCCACTGCTAAGGATGCAGAAACTGAGCCTCCACACCTGGACACAGATCTTAGCAGTGCTCGTTCCTATTTCTTGGCACTTATGTGCCAGGTACTGTGCAAAGTACTCCAAGTGGTTGTGTTTATTTCTTTTTGCCACTAGGACAAATTATCACAAATTTTGTGACTTAAAATGAAAGCTATATTACCTGGCTCTTCTGGGGCTTGGCACTTCGAAATGGGTTTCCAGGAGCTCAAATCAAATCAACGCTGGCAGCCACAGTCTTTCAGGAAGTGTTGGGAAGAAACGGTCTTCCTGCCTTTTTCACCTTCTAGAGGATGCCCCCATTCCTTGGTGTCCGGCTAAGCATAGGGCATGAACTGTTTGGGTGACCCGTGCTTCTACCCCTCACTAACTGGAACTTTCTTGAGTCCTGCAGCCATTCTGGGAAGCAGGTCCAGCTTTTCCATCCTAAACAGGAGGGGATGAGGCTCCCAAGGGTTAATTGACTTCCCAAGGTCACACAGCCAGTAAGTGGCCTTGCTGAGCTTTCCCTGAGGGGTTTTGGGCCCCTCCATCTGAGGGGACAGTGCCATGGTCAGGTTCTACAGCACTGGGTTGGTGCCACCTTGTCACAGATCAAGGATGAAGATGTGGAAGCAGTCAGTGGGGACTCTGAGGGTGTCATTAGATATGTCCCTAGAGCGTGTTCCAGTTAGAAGTGACTCAGTGTACCACCTGGCTTCAGGGAACCCAGCAGGGTCAGTGACCTGCCCATGGTCACCAGGATACTAGTAGCAAGAACAGAACTCACACTCCATCCACTGACCACCGTCCTCCAAGGGTCTCGCCTAGCTCTCCTCTCTAGATGAGTGACAGGGCGCCAGTATGCACTGGCCCTGAAAGTCACCTATCTCAAGCCTGTTCCTATCTTTGTGGGGACATCGAGACTTCAGAGGAGACCAAGCAGGGAAGTGTTTTGTAAACAGCTAATCACGCCACATTCGTGAACAGCTAGGATGGATGTCCTCTTGCAGGACAAGAATGACTCTTCTGTCATTCCCAACACACCATTGGAACTCAACGGCCTGTCACTGGAGCCTCTACCATCCTATGAAGAAGTGACTCGAGGTGACACACGAGTTGAGCAAAAACAGAGGTGAGGAGGGTCTGGCCTGGGCTCCACAGATCTTCAGAAGACACCATGACCCCTCTACCCAGCACGGATAGCAGCCATTCCTGAGGGCAAGGGGCAGATAGTGCTGTTGCCTGAGCCACTGGCCCTAGGAGTGATGGCAGAGGTGCAGGTGGTCCCTTCTCTCAGGCCCACCCCCAGGGTCACCTCAGTTCCAGACTTAGTTGACCAGAGGTCACAGCCTCTCCAGGCCTCAGTGTCTCCATCTGTAAGCTGAGGGGCAGGTGGTCTCAGTGATCCGTGAGCCTCCTGTGATCTCAGAAGCCCAAGAGCAGGAGTGGCGGTCAAGTTTCAAGTTTCTGGTTGTGCCATCTAAGGCAACCTGCGAGACCCCAGCTTCCAAATTCCAAACCTAATTGTGCTAATACTAGGTAAAGTGAGAGAGAGGCCTACGGTCCTCGTTTTCCAAATTTCAGTCACCTGAGGAACTTCTTCATGATTCTGGTTTATTTATGGGCAGTGTTATGTTCTGTTTCCTTTAGTTGACTTTTTGTCTTATTTTGAAAGGAGACTTTGTAGCAGCAACAAGTGGGAAATCAGTATCTTAGCCTCCAAACCAACACGAGCATGGTGAAATTAAGCACCATGTGACTCCCGCCCCACCTCCATGATCTCAGTACTTCCTGTCCTCGGCCTCACTAAACTCCAGCCACTCAAGATGCCTTGAGGTTTCCCTGACGCCCAGCCTACCTACCTCACCTCTGAGCCATTGCCCTGGAGGTGCAGGTGGTCCCTTCCGGCAGGCCCACTCCCAGGGTCACCTCAGTTCCCTCTGCAAATACTCCTCTCCGGGTATTTGCAGAGCTCACTCAAGAGTCTTTACGGGCCAGGTTGATATCATTTACTCTTCCACCTTCTGGGGTGTCGGTGCTGTGACTACAGCCATTTCGCACAGGCTCTGAGAAGTTAAGCAAGTTGTCCAAAAACATTCAGCCTGGTTCTACCCAGCTGCCTCCCAATTTTGTCCAAAATTGGTTGTAGTGTGACCCCTGTTCTCCTGAAGGGTCACATTCACTGGGGACATATGGTCTGTACATACAAAGGGCTGCTGATCCACATAGCCAAGTCAGTCCTCATAGCTCATGGGAACCTGTCCTGCCAGGATGGCTTAGTACTATGGTAGCCGAATTTTTAGCTCTCTGGAAGGATGATCCATTCCACACTGTCTTGTGAAATCCCTTGAGTATATGGAGCCCTTGGTCTCAGCTGCCCTTTCATTGAATATCTCTGGAGTTCTCTGAATTCACTTCTCTGCCTTGTCACCTCCCACACTGTCACCTGTGGCTGTCACCTATGGCTGTGGTCTCTGGCTTGCCCAGAGCACCTTTTCTGCTTCTGATCTGCTATTTCTAAGTTTCCATGGGTTGTAGCTGACTTTATTTTTTGGGGGGAGGGGGTAGTTAATTCTTTTTTTGGGTTTTTTTTGTTGTTGTTTGTTTGTTTTTTTTATTCACATGTGCATACAAGGCTTGGGTCATTTCTCCCCCCTGCCCCCACCCCCCCTTTACCACCCACCCCACGCCCTCCCTCTTCCCCCCACCCCCTCAATACCCGGCAGAAACTATTTTGCCCTTATCTCTAATTTTGTTGAACAGAGCATATAAGCAATAATAGGAAGGAACAAGGGTTTTTGCTAGTTGAGATAAGGATTGTAGCTGACTTTAAAATAAAATGTCAAGGAGGAAACACAAGACCCTGACAGAGTGGCAAGTGTTTAAGAACACTACTATCATTCAAAAGATTCACCTGGTAGGGTGAATCTTAGCTTGGCCGTCCAGAGTCCTGTGTGAAAAACGCCACCTCTGACAGAAACATGTATGTGATCTGGACTCAGCCCCTTTCCTTCTCTGGGCCCATTTCCTCATTTGTAGAACAGGACATTGTGCTAGAGTTGTGCACTGGTGGCTCGAGCCTGTAATCCTAGCTACTTGGGAGGCTGAGATTGGGAGAATCAAGATTTGAGGCCAGCCTAGGCAAATAGTTCATGAGACCCCATCTCCCAAAATAACCAGAGCAAAATGGACTGGAGGTATATCTCAAGTGGTAGAGCACTGCTTTGAAAGCACAAAGCACTGAACTCAAACCCCACTCCCACCAAAAAAGTGGGGAGGGGTGACCCTAGCCTCTGTGGGCAACTCATGGAAGGCCAGGCAGGATAAGCAGAGCTCGGCCAAGGGCTCACAGCTCTGTCCTGGACGGCTTAGCAACACTGCCACCTTCTGGAGGTCCTGCCACACACAGTTGGTATTTTCAGTACAGGATGTCATTTTTTTGTAGTTTGGGGGGAGGTTTTTTGTTTGTTTGCGGTACTGCAGTTTGAACTCAGGGCCTCGCTCTACCATTTGACCTGTGCCCCACCCTTTTTTGCTTTAGGTTAATTTTCAGATAGAGTATATCATTTTGGGACAGGGTCAGCCTTGAACCGTGATCTTCCTACCCATGCCTCCTGGGTGGCTTGAACTATAGTTGTGAGCCAATACACCCAGCCTAGACATAGAATTTCTAATGGTAGCCAAGAAACTGAAAGCAACAGTGATTCCGGTTGATGTTAAATTTCAGTCAACATTTGGATATGGACACAACTGTAAGAATGAAGCCTAATTTCATTTGTACCTAGTATGAAAAAAAAATCAAACATGCAGAAAAGTTCAAAGAATAATACAAGGAATATTCCTATACCCTCCACCAAGATTAGGGTCACCATTTTGCATATTTGCTTCCTCTTTCTCCATTTTGATCTATGTCTCTCATATTCTTTCATCGTTTTTTTTCTTTGTATTGCAGTTCTGGGACTCAAACCTAACCTTACAAGTGCTAGACGAGCTACATTCTCAGCTCCTGGTTTTTTGGAACAGGGTCTCTCTGTATAGCTCAGGGTGACCTTGAACTCACTATGTCGCCCAGGCAAGCCTCACATTTGCTGTCCCCCTGCCTCTACAGGTATATGTCACCATGGCCAGCTCTATATCCCTATTTTTTTCATTATTGTTGTGCTGGAGGTGTATTGTGACATTTACAAAAGTTCTTACAATATATCATAGCTGAATTTACTCCCTTCTTATCGCTTTTAAATATTTGTGTGTATAGATATGTGTGTCCAGCATATATGTAGTTTGTATGTGCACACACATTTATATTTTCACATATACAGGTTTTTTTGCAGTACTGGGCTTAAACACAGAGCCTACAGTTTGAGCCGCTCCCTCAACCCTTTTTTGTGATGGCTCTTTTTGAGATAGGGTCTCACAAACTATTTGCCTAGGCTGGCTTTGCACCATGATCCTCCTGATCTCTGCCTCCTGAGTAGCTAGGATTACAGGGGTGAGCCACCAGCACCTGGCTTCACATATCTACTTTTTGTGAAATTATTTAAAAGTAAATTGCAGACATCAAGACTATGTCCCTAAATTCTTCTACCTCCATTATTTCCTAAGAATAAGGGCTTTCTCCTACATAATCACAGTAATATTGTCACACTAATTCCATAATTCTAAAGCCCTGTCCATGTTTAAATTTCCTCTGCTGGACCACAGCTGTCTTTATCATGATTTATGTTTCATTTGGACCTAATCACATCTCACACATTGTATTTGATTGTTACATTGCTTTGTTTTCTCCTAATCTACAATAATCCCCCACTTTTACTCATGAAGTGGACTTTTTAGCACATTGTCCCTGGTCCTCCACCCTCCCTCCTTCCCAGAGCCTGGTGGAGGGAAGTTTGAAAAAAAGTGGTTTTGAACTCTGTGGTTGAGATTAAAAATTCATGGTGGCCCTTGAACATGGAATTCTACTTTCTAATCTCATTGAACTTTTTGTGTTGAAAGAATCTTTGTGGATCATCTCCCCTAATCCTTATGTGACAGATGGAGAAACAGGCCAAGGTGGGTGAGGGGGCTTACTGAAGGTTACCCAGCAGGCCTCATTGATGGGGATGAGATTAGAACCCAGGTCTTATGTAGCCATCCACCCGGCTCATGGCTCCCCAGCCCTGTCCCACCTGCTTCCCTGGGAACCTGAGAGCAGAAAGAAGGCCAACTCCTGTCTCTGTCCAGTCCCCACCCTAAGTCCCCAGCTTCCAAACTTACTGTCTCCCCAGTCTGTGAGGCAATCTCCAGCCTCACTGGCACCCCAGGAGCATCAGGACAAACTTCCAGAAGGCCCTTCCTCCTTCCCTCCCCCCATGCACCTAGCCCTGGAGGCAGATCCTGGCATTGCTCTCATTTGTGCCTTCCCTCCTCCTCCCACAGGTGAAGATAGTTCCAAAAGTGCCATGCCACTTGCAAACCTCACACCATCCCCAGTCTCTCAGAGGCAGGAATCTGGCAGGTGACACAGGCACGAACCAAACAGTCATGCAAATAAATGTATTATTGTTGTAAAGGGAAAAGAGGGAAGGGAAGTCATGTTAATGGAGGCCTTAGGCATAGGGTCAAGCTGTCCTGGCTCTGCTGTTTCTTTAGTGTGTGTGTGAGAGAAAGATTTAAAATTTGTTTTTTTATTATTATTGTGCTGGGGGTACATTGAGGCATTTATAAAAATTCTTACAATATATCATAGTCAAATTCACATGCTCCATCATTCTCCTTTATCCTGCCTCCCCCGTTCCTGGATAGTTTCAATAGGTCTCATTTTTCCATTTACATACATGTGTACACATTATTTGTATCATATTCACCTTCCTACACCCTCTCCCCACTGGCACACATCCTCCCCACTACCGCCACTGGTACCAACCCCCCAGACAGGAACTGTTCTGCCCTCTTTTTCTGTTTTTATTTAAAAAATATATTTTGCATGTGTAAGATAGTTACACAGGGAGTTTCCTTGTGACATTTCCGTGCATATATGTATTATAACTCGAATTGGTTCATCCCCTCTGTCTTCTTCCTACCTTAATCCCCTTCTTAAGGTGATTTCAACAGGTTTAAAAATTCCACATTCATTCTTGTATAGGAAGCACCTCAG